ACCTGCACCAAGTGATCATAGCACTAAAGAAGCTACTTGTCTCGAACGCCTACTGGAGCTACAGCTCTCAGACCCGACCTCAAATGGAAAGCGTCTATTCGTCCGAAAACGCAAAAGATACGAAGAAGAATGAACGCTTCATTGTATCGCCCCAGAAAATACCCAACTCCCGCTGCCAGATTTGATCAAGAATGGAGCATTGTTGTTGCCATATCTTGTCCGGTGTTGCCAAATCCTCACTGCCCATCCTTGACAAAGCTCAAAAGCGCTTATGTGACCAACAAGAATGATGACAGTTTCTTCACCAATGGGAACCAAGCACTGCAACATGAAAGAACTTATGGAAGTGGGGAGGGAATTATGTTGAAAAATAATCCTTATTTGGTCAAATTCCATGAGAGTATCTTTTGGTCAACCTATGAAGTTTTCTGCCGAACCTCAAAGTTAAATGTGTTACCCGTTATTGTTGTTATTGTTGGAATCGTTTCAGTGATGTGGATTGTGTTACTATAAAGATTCATTCGTTTGAAGACATTTGAATGTTTAGAGATTTCTTAGCGAGTTACGAGTCATATATGGCATACATGCCACTGTCGTATTTATGTTAAACATTTTTCGTAAAGTTGGTATTTTTTTTTAATCATATTCAAATATTTTTCATTATATGTACATTCTATATTATGCGTAGAATGTCCGACAGAAAAAAAATCAATCAGGTCAGTACTCTTCCAGTTGCGTTTAACTATACGGTTCATAAAAAATGTTCAATCGGAAACTATTAAAAAATATTCCTCCGATCAAAAATCAATCAGTATATAGGACAACATTTTCGTATGTTTTTTTTTTATTATTATTAAGCATAGCTTAGGTGTGGCACAAGGGCAAAAATAGGAAGCACCCAGTGAGCATCGAATTCACTACTCAGTCGTTATAGATTTAGCGCGGCAATCTTGCTGACCATTACATTATGTTGAAGCGCCCTAACTTTTTCGTATGACATCAAAATCAGTGTTTAATTTTCTAGTATTGATAAAAGCAGCTGCCATTATAGTCTTGAGTTAATATTTGGATAGGCTCGGCTTTTACTTCCAACCAATGGGTTTTTTTATTTTATTTCTATTTCTATTTGGAACCTTCAACGATTTTTTCCTATCGATCGAAATTCGGCGGCTTGGAACATGACAAATATTTACAAAGCTGAAAAATTAAAAAAAAAGGAAAGAAAAGGGAGAAAAAACATAACTTGCTGTCCGATTTGATGTTGCAATCTTAACTAACACATTCAACCAGACTTCTCTACATATACATCGATAAAATTCAATCGACCGTCAGAATTCTACATCCTCAAGGCAGATTGACTCGAGAACAGCAGCTGAAAGCAAAAGTCGGTGCAAGAATCCCAAGCCAAGGAAAAAGTTAGTAACGAACGATATTTCTTTCATGAAAAACAGCGTCTTTCTGCCAAACGATTACATTTTCTTTTATTCTTGTTTATATAACTGCATATCAGTTGATCTGCCTATATTTCTGAGGCGAGGTATTGTAACTATTTACATAGACTGCTATTCTCAACTTTATTGCCATATTCACGATGTTTCAGTCGTTGTACACTCTCACCTTCTTCAGGATCTGACTATATTTCTGAGATTAAATATTTACACCATTTGCATCGTTAGGACTGTTGTCCTCATCTTTGTTATCATATTCCCAACGCTTCGGACGTTGTGCGCTCCGGTCTTCATCAGGATCTGTCTATAATTCTGAGACAAGGAATTGTAACTATTTATACTATTTATATCGTTCGGATTGTTGTCCTCGCCGTTATTGCCGTATTCACGACGTTTCGGCCGTTGTATGCTCTGGCCTTCTTCAGGTGATATACATGGGAATTCCGAGCCTAACCCCTAGAACACATGGTCCAGTGGATAAAAGCGTTGATTGAGTAATCCAAAAAGTGACTTGATCCAAAGATTTGTCTATTCAATACCTGGCCACAACAGATGGAAGAAAAATTTGGAGAGTTGAGTTACTCAAAAGAATTAACCGAAACTGAGGTATCTCAAAAAGTCATGGCACGTGAAACTAGAACAATATATACCCCCGTGGACTAAATAAAGGGTTCAGATCGAAATTCCAGCGTATATCACCTGAAGAAGGCGAGAGCGTACAACGGCAGAAATGTTGTGAATAAAGATGAACACAAGAATCCAAATGATGTAAATAGTGTAAATTGCATATTAGTTATGTAACTAATTAAACTATGTTTTGCAAGAGAACCCAGTTATGGCTGTCAGACAATTTTCATCGACTACATTACTCCTTATATCTGGCGACCTAACTCTCCAGACTGCAACTCCCTTGATTATTATGCATGGGCACAATTGAGCGAGAGACCAACAAAATTCGTTGTAACAGCAAAGATGAATTGAAGGCAAGGATTATAGCAGCACTCAACAACTTAAACAAGGAGATCGTCCAGAAGTGTTGCAGGAGATTCCGAAGTCGTCTGGAGGTCGTGGTTGAAGCTAATGGTGATTTTATTGAATAAATTTACTCTTTAATCTTTCAAGATATAATTTTGGTTAAAATGAAATGTCAGTGTTATTTTCATTTTTGTGTCATTTAGACGACAATTTATCGATCGCGCCCTGTACAAGACGACGTATGTAGATGGCTGCCGCGATCTTTTGACTTATACTGGGGATGATATACAGCGCTTAGTGGGCCAGTGTTCGCACTACTCTTGGACATACTATATCTCAACAAAACTCTAATGATGCATTAGCCTGAATCGGGAAAGCCTTATATAGAGCCAAATATATTTGTATACAATAAGCGTGGTTATAACACCTTATTGAGAACATGCTCACTGAACAATGAGGTTGCATGAGAAATCCAATAGGCTAGTGATGCATTTCGTAAGTTGGAGTGGCGGCTATGGAAAGAGTGTGAAATTTAGAGTGACTAAATGTAACACACTATCCTCACCACACTGGACCCACGCACTCTACAAGACCGGCCGTTGGTCCGGTATGGTCTAGTATTATAGGTTAGACACAAGTCGCCAGTTTTCAATGTCAGTTGGAAGCCACCCTCCAACCACATTGTGATTGTTTTGATCCTGGAGAGTGGTCATCAAATCGTAGAATTCCGGATGTTCTCCGTTGCTCCACCTTCGATTTCGTCGGGTGAGAATCGGGTTAACAGAAAAATAAATATAACCAAGTCGATTCGATTTTGAAAGGACAAAAGTTTGTTTTATATATATATATATATATATATATATATATAAAAGCAAATACACACACAAAAAATAATTCTTGTTGCACAAGGTTGAATGTTTCTTGTATGTGAACAATAACCACACAAGCACAAATACTTCGAATAACTTCGGTAAAGGAGAGATGTAGTCTTTGTTTTCACACTTTTTCGGTCTGTTCTTAACTCAACTACTACAATTACTATTACTTCGATGTTCCAATTCTCAGTAGTAGTAGTAGTAGGAGTAGTAGTAGCAGAAGTAGTGGTACTTAGATGCTAGAGGCAGTATTTCGCGTCTTCACCCCCAGCTTCAGCAACACACAGCGGGCGTTTCCCTTTCAGTCTCTGACGTCTTTCCACTCAGTTCGACTGCATTCGAAGACAGACGAATCCAAAACTCTCTCTCCTCCGATTGGCTCACCTCTTTATTGAGAGAATCGGCTTCACATGTTCCAGACTGGTGACGTATCTGTTTTTCTAGTGCGAACGTACTGACATACTACCAAAGTACAAATTCATTCCTCCGAGAATAAACAATTTACTTTTTCATCGATTGGTTTCTAAGGTTCACAACAAGACGCTATTGTTTATCACCTCGCTATTAATTATTTTGTCGCTCTTTGTAAACTAAAGAGACTCTTAAAAATAAATTCTAGATCAAAACATCCTTAATTTTAACTTCGATTCTTATAGTGTGAAAATCCATTTCATTTTTTAAAATTCCAAATTATTATTGTTTCAGTAATTTTCTATTAGTAATCTGATATCCTTTGTACACTTACAAAAAGATTGTATTTCGTGTTCTAAATTAACTCTCTGTAACATTTATATTTCAAAGTTTTTACAGCATATTAACATCTTGGTTATTCGAAGACGTCTCTCTTTCACTTGTTGTTTCTGTTTTACAGCATATCTTCCTTTATTATCATTATTATTATTATTATTTCAGGGGTGATATCACCCATGCCACAAAGAAAGGTGTACCATGCTTGTGTCATAACGTTGTTAATGTATGCTTGTGAAACGTGTATTGTCTGTTGTGACTACTTGAAGCAGCCTGAGCACTTATATCAACGATGCTTGTGCTGAATAGATGGAATCAAACGAGATCGCGTATCAAGTAGAAGTGACTGCACAAAGTGCAACTGCATTAAAACAATAATTCTCAAACATAGGTCGCGTTAGAGTGGGGTCATTCGG